GGGGGAATTGCAGATGTCGTCGTCTTCTCCGAGTGGTGATTTGACTGAGAGGAGAGGAATTCCTGCCGCCAAATTCATCCAAGATGTCGAGACTTATCTCTCTCAGTCTGGCCTCGATCCTAACTCTGCTCTCTCCTTCCATCAAGAAAGGTTTCTCCTTTTTCTTCTATAGCTCTACATCATTTATCTGCCTTCTTCGTACCTAAATCTTAGAACTCCTGTAATAGTTCCATGGCCGGATTTTTATGATCAATTACATTAGCTTCTTCTTAGATTCGATTTGATTCTTCGTGGTTTCTGGATTCTGTTTAGGCTTCAGCAATATAAAGTTGTTGAGATGAAGCTTCTTGCCCAGCAAAGAGAACTTCAGGTGCACTTCTCCTTTTTCTATGTAGATTGAAACCTCTTTTTTTTTTTTTGTCTCTCATTTTCTTAGCGCTTTATATAAGTATATATACATGATGAGAGGTGCTATTATCTCTAGCTCTTGTGCTAAATGATTATCATGTATGGTGGTTCAAGTTATTATCTTCTTGATTTTGTTCACTTGATCAAATGGTCAGGCTAAAATCCCAGATATTGAGAAGTGCTTAGAGGTTGTTGCCACTTTGCAAGCAAGGAAGGGTACTGGTGAGGTTCGTCGTTGTTCATTTCAATTGCTTTAGCAAATACTTATACTTAGATAGCCTTTCTTCACTGGTTTTTGCACAAGATTCTTGTCTTTTTTACGTTTAATTTTGATGTTGTGATCAGTCTCTTGGTACTATTTTTTAGATGGATGATGACCAAATATATATATATATGTTATTTCAACTTCTGAATCCAGAATCCTAACTTTTAATTTCACAACGTTGTCCTGGTTTCTTACCAATGTTTGTATGCTAAATTTGTATTCATGTGAAGATTTTTTCTCTCTTATCTTTGCGTGAGTCTAGCATACCTAAACGTTTTCTCAAAACCTGTAAGCCTGCTTGCATTTGAAAGTCTACTTTTAAAGATCAAGGTTGATTGGTTGGAAAGGCAATTCTACCCACTAGGGTGCTGCTAATTTACAATTCAGCTTTCTTGTGCCTATTATCCCTTTAATTACTGTTTTTAAGCCATGTTTGATGGTGAAAGCAGAACATGATGTGTCGCGGAACTTAGTTTTAGCTTTGTTGGAAGAATCAACTGACACATGGATTTTGTATAAAAGTTGCTTTGATGTGCAGACTTACTGCTGATTCTTATGTTCTTCATCTTTTTTTTTTTTTTGACATTTAATTCTTCTTACAATGCAGGCACTTTTAGCCGATTTTGAGGTGTCTGAAGGAATATATTCGCGGGCCCGTATTGAAGACACAGACTCGGTGTGTTTATGGCTGGGAGCAAATGTCATGCTGGAATATTCCTGTGAAGAGGTCCAGTACGCTGGAAACATATTCTCTTTAACGTTTTAAATTTTCTTGCACCGGGGACCATAGAATAAGTTCTTCTAATCTTTGTTGTTCCAACAGGCTACAACTCTTCTGAAAAACAATCTGGAAAATGCTAAAGCCAGCCTGGAGGTTCTTGTAGCTGATTTACAGTTCTTGAGGGATCAAGTCACAGTTACTCAGGTACAGTAACTGTGAGAAATGATAAGTAGAGTCTTATGTTACTTTACATAACAGTAAATTCTCAAAACTTCCCAAAATTGCAATTGTAGACATTGTTCCAGATGTTGTAGATTCGTATGATGTATTACATACAGAGATTAAGTATAAGTGTAGTTTTTTCTATCTTTCTTGACTAGGATTTTTTGGTGATGGACAGGTAACTATTGCACGTGTTTATAACTGGGATGTTCATCAAAGGAGGGTTAAACAAGCCACCCCTACTGCTATTGCTGCTGCAGACTCATGAATCATAGATTCAGATTATAATCGCGTGGGCCTAATTGAGGTAATATGATTATCGCAAGACCGTTTGTCTTAACCGGTTGTTTGTAACTCTTGATTTTTGCTATCTTGAAGAATTTTAGTCTATGCGAGAAAACCATATGAATAGAACAGTAGCATTGTTATCATCGTTTGTCTTCTGTTTTTTTCGCTACATATGTCGGGCCAGCTTGTGTTTTCCGCAATTGAAGTACTACTTGTTTAAAGATATGATAGATATATCAAACTATTTGCCTGTGGTGGTCTTGATTGATGTACTAACCTGTAATTGTTGTCAAAAATGAGAAATGTTTCTAGAAGAAGTGAAAAATGAGAAATTACCAGAAGTCAAAGTTGTGCCATTTTTGTCGGAAATTTAGGTTCAATATTGGTGACGAGGGTCATGACGGCTTGTGATTTTGGTTATGAAACCAGCAAAAAGTGGAAACGAGAAACAACAGAACAGTGATCAAGTAGAACCTTTTTATAGACTTTTAACATTAGTACATCTTAAATAAAAGAAATTAGATTTCATTTTTTCTCAAGTATAATAATTTCTTGTCACTTCTGTGATGATTCAACGTACGATCCTATAATAAATCACAGTAAGATTCTTATATGGTCATTCGGCCGACCATTTAACTTGTAAGTTTTGTTCAGTTACTAAAAGAAAGGATAAGGATCCTCTTCAAAATGTTCTAACAATTTGGGTACTTTTTTTAGACAAAATGTTTCACCCTAATCTGTAAAATGCCTGGATTATGACGCTTCAGAGTATCTGCCGAAGACGCTTTGGTCAAGTGACTTTGGCTTTTGACTATCTTACGTGCACCTGGGGTTCGAATCATATCTTCCTAAAGTGAGGTAAAACGAGGGCCCATGTGGGTTCGGACATCAGACCCAGAAAAAGCAAAATTCATCAAGTTGAGAGTAATAATGAAGATTTGGAGATTTCCGAATTATCAAGTTGAGAATATTAATGAAGAATATTACAAGCCAACATGAATAAGAGTTTTTGTTCTTTCAATTAAATGATGGTCCTTGTTCCACAAAATTATTGACTTTCATTTTATTTTCTTTATATATATGATGATGATTTCGTCATCGTTTCTTAATTTGTTTATCTTTATAGCAATTTTATTTTCCTCCTTCAAACCACACTCTTTATGCCAGCCAATATAGCATCTGTATACCATTGTATTGTCCTACATATTCTTCTTCTTTTTTTTACGATTATATACGATTCCGAAATTGATGTATATTGGTGATTGGTTATAAAATTGAATAGTTTGGCAATACAATAATGTATCTTAATTTAGGTGAAGAAGATGTATAGGATACTGACATGTAAAATGTAATGCGTTTATAGGTCTCCCCAAAAGACGTTTTTTTGGTCTACCAACTTTTATATACGGACATGAATTTTCAACCCTCTTTACAATACGCTGGATGCATTCGACCTCTTTAGGATTTGAATTGACTCCGGTTGACTTTATTTATAGACTAAATTTTATATATGTTTATAATCACGATATATACAAATCTAAGGATATCTAGTCTAGTGGCTCAAATTTGTGTAGTCGATATTATTGGAAAAAAATAAACTCCTACTATTTCCGCACTGCAAGTAATCATTGATTATGTTAATTTTTTCAACGACTTACTTAGCTACAATGAAATGCATAACAGTCTACGTACTTCACATATACAAGAGTTTTTTTGGTAAAATTCACATATACTACAAGATTTGTTGTTTAAACACATACATTTAAGTATAACTGATGATAGTCGAGAATTTTTTTTTTTAAAATATATAGGTTATCAAAAACGAGAGAAACCAGATGTTTCTGGGTGATATACATCATAAAGATGACAAAAATATATATACATTTTAATTTTATTAAATGTGTAAATTATTTTGAAATTATTTATAGATCACATTAAAAAGTGATAAAATATGTAAATGGTCCATATATAACATAATGTCATAACTGCATGTGTCTTCGAAAGCATCTAATGAAAATATTGGAACAGTACATTACAAAGAAATGATACAGACAATTCGAAAGAATATAATATAATCTCAATTATTTCTGTGTGTCTAAATTGTATTTTTTTGTTTTTTTAACAATTAAGATTATAGATATATGTTGGAAAGAAAACAAAAAGTCATAAATTTGAAAGGAAAAAAAAAAAAAGTATTGTAGATATGTATCGTAATCTAGAAATAGGAGAGGAGAGAAACGTACACGGAAAACGAGGGGGATTTTAGTTTGTTTTTGTGAGAAGCAAAGCAGAGCTGTCTGACCCCTCACAGTTTATTATTAAAGTGAATTTGTCTTTTTGTGACAAATAACGCGTTTTAGGGTTTAGCGTTACAATATTCCATTTTATTCAAAAAAACTCTCTCAATCCCTTGACTTTGACTT